CCCGGTATTGTTTCTGAGGAAGCCAAGGAGCCTATGGTACCTGGTGTTGGAATTGCTCCTACATATACGATCTCTCGTGCGGTTCTGTCTGACGCTGTGGCTCTTGTCCGTGGTGACCGTTTCTACACTGTAAGTTTGCCCTTTTCATGGGATCATAATACCATTCATCTAACATAAACTATAGGTCGACTACAATGCCCGGAACCTGACTAACTGGGGATACAATGAGGTTCGTTACGACCTGAATGTCAATCAAGGATGTGTCTTCTACAAGCTTGCGACCAGAGCCTTCCCGAATTGGTTCAAGCCTGATTCCATCTATGCCCATTATCCCATGACTATCCCCAGTGAGAACAGGAAGATTATGAAGGATCTGGGTAGGGAATCTCACTACTCTTACGAACGCCCGTCATATACCCCTCCCCATGGGAACCTGGTGTCATATCCCAATGTCAAGCTAGCTTTGGAACGTGAAGAGGACTTCCGCGTGGTCTGGAGCGGCAATACTCCGCTCGCCTCTGCTAAAGGAGGCGATGACTTCTGGAGTAAGTCATTGAACAATGACCAGTGGCGTAACAGCATCAAGGAATTCTATGAAGACATCACTGCCAAGCTTCTGCAAGAAAAGTCCGGAAATCTTGCGGGAATCAAGCAAGTTGATATCACTCGGGAGTAAGTTACCTTGATCAACATTACGACCGCAGTACAAGAGCTGACCACGTCTGTAGTATTGGAAACCTAGCGCCTGTTCATTTTGCCTCGAAGCTGTTCTCTCTGCCTTTGAAGACCAAGGGGAATTCGCGTGGAGTCTTCACCGAGAACGAGACCTTCATGAGTATGGCAGTGATCTTTACTAGCATTTTCTTCGATGTCGACAAGACCAAGTCTTTCTCTCTTCATCACGCGGCTCGCGCCGTGTCTCAGCAGCTGGGTCATTCCGTTGAGAGTCACGTCAAATCCATCAGTTCTCCTGGATTCCTCAGCGGCCTCATTGGAAATCGTCACAATGATCACAACGCCTTGAAGGAGTACGGTGATCAGTTGATCAAAAAGCTTCTGGAAAGTGGCTTGGGTGTTTCCGATGTCACCTATTCTCAGGTTCTCCCAGCAGCCGTGGCAATGGTGCACAACCAGGCCCAAATGGTAAGCTCCATCTACTCTTGCTACGGTGCTCGCTGTTAACACATAAACAGTTTACCCAAATCATCGACTATTATCTTTCGGAGGGCAAGGAGCATCTCCCTGAGATTAACCGCCTTGCCAAGGAGGAGAGCAAAGATTCTGAAGACAAGTTGATGCGCTACTGCCTGGAAGGCTTCCGTCTGAATGGAACCTTTGGATCCTACCGCGAAGCTCAGACTGACTTCCTCATGACTGATGAGACCGGTGATGTCAACATCAAGCGTGGCGACATAGTATTCGTTGGTGCTGTAAGTGACTTCTCTATTGTCCCGCAAAGCTCGCAGCTGTGACATGGCTAACGTCCAACAGGTCAAAGCCAACCGTGATCCTCAGGTCTTCCCAAATCCCAATGAAGTGCGTCTGGACCGCCCTCTGGAATCTTACATCCAGTACGGTCTCGGCCCACATACTGGCTTGGGCAAGGAAACGACCTTGCTTGCCTTGACGTCTATGTTACGTGTTGTTGGCGGCTTGGACAACCTTCGGCGTGCGCCTGGCCCCCAGGGTCAGCTGAAGAAGATCCACCGTGAAGGCGGTTACTACGTCTATCTGCGAGAGGATTGGGGAAGCTACTCTCCATTCCCAACGAGTAAGTCATCCCTGGTACAGCTCCTGGTATGCTAGGAAGGAAACTAACCTCTGCTCTCTCCGCAGCCTTCAAGGTCCACTTCGATGGTGCAATTCCCGCTCCCAAGAAGCGCCTCACCTCCTAAATCACCGTTCCTTTGGTGATTGATCTGAACACTGAGGCTCAATAACGCGTTATATTGTATTTGAAAATGGTTTTGCGAGATATCCTAGTTCTGTTCGGACTTGTATGCTGTTATGCTTGGATGATATTGACATCATAATTATATACTACAAATGTAGCAACAGTGTTAGTTCCTTGTCTTTACCATGCAAAATTGATCACAAAGCTGGTTCTGAGTTTGTTGAACGTGTTCTCGGTATATTATTGGAGGTGCCATGTCTCTCAACCCTGTATATCTTGTCCGTAATCCTGTCCTAACCATATCTGCTCGCTGTAGTTCGATCGTCCACTTGCCCATCTCCCTTTTAGCGTGTCCAAGTTCCTGTTGAACACTGATTCAAGGCCCGATTCATGCTACGCCAGGCTCCTCATCATCCGTGTCGAGCGTGGTATTACACAACCAGGCAAATGCCATACTCTCTTCTCCCCACTGAACTAATACATTCCAAGGCCAACCGGGTAGAAACTCAATCCCCAGGCACGAGTCAACCCTAACCGTATAACAAACATCTCACCGACAGCTCTCCCTCAAAACCCATGCATCCCGTCCTAGGAAATCGAATTATCTCACCCATCAGACAGGTCGCACACCATTCTGCATAGAACTCTGGTCCCCCAATTGCGGTATCATGCCACTCAAGCCAGGTTAATATCGACTGCATATCTAGCGCGCCCATCCCCACCAGACAATGTATCAAACTCGAAATATGACAGGCTGCGCGCAGTTGGGACCGTCCCCGTATGACCTGTCTTATCCCGATGGATATCTTAGAATTTTTCTTTTTTTTTTCCCTTTTTGCCAGGTTTACTTCGGGTTTGTTTTACGAGTATTGTCTTACATAATTACCGGAGGGAAAGGTTGTGGCTCCAATGAGCGGGTTTGTATTTCATAAAATGAAGCTAGTCGCATACTATTGTTTTATAGTCGGATGGTCAGTCCGCAGTTCTTTCCCGGTGGTATCCGTTGTCTTGCCCTTCGTATTTTGGACGGGTTGAAATCATTAGTTGTGTTTTGGAGTGAGTCGGGCTTCGTGAGTTGGTAATGGTAGCCTTGCAATAGGGTGATAGATCCAGCTGCAGGGGGTGGTTGGGGGAGGGAATCAACAATACATGTCGGGAATGGGTTTGTGATTTAGGAGGGCTGATCCACAGCAGGCGGGGCCAGCTGTTCCTTCCCTCAGGGCTGATGGGCAGAGTCTTGGATCGGGAAATGTTGAATGTTTTGCAGGTCAGGGGTTCAAGCTCAACATCACCTGTTCATGAAGTACGCGAAAGAGTTTAGCGTGCCATTTAGGGTTTAGCGCCTTGCTGCGCGTTACGCTTGCGGTGCGTGTTTCTATCAAGTCCCTATGCAACTATAGTTACCGTAGATAGTAGTTAACTTAACTTGAATGTCGGCCTGGAATTTTAGGCAATTTAGCCACCAGGTATCCACCTCCCAATACGGCTAGCGCAAGGCGCTGTCAGTATGCCCCACATAAGAGCCTCACAACAATACTCCTCTCAACCTCTAAAGCATCCAAAGCAACTCCAATGTCGTCCTCATACTCAGCCTGGTTTCGTAAGGGCCCTGACCCTGGAACTATAATTACCCTTGACCAGCCCGTCCCTTCCCTGTGGAAGATTCTTGAGAAGTTGAACGAGCATGACTATCAGGTTAACGAGGAGGAAAACGATGAGTATGGTTTCCGTTCTTTCGCCTCGGCTAAATATCTATGCTGCGATCCCGGAGCCCGGACTAAGAAAGCCCTCATGCGCATCTACATTCAAGTTCCCCATTGGAAGACTGAAATGGATGATGCGGATACCAGAAGCCGACAAGCCACAACATACAACCCCCCAGAATTGATCGCCTACCGGGACCTCACTGAAAAGAGCTCGAGTAGCACACCAAAGCTTCTCGGATACAAGACCGATAAACAGGATCGCTCGGGGCTAGTTCCGGGTGGGTTCATTATCTGGCTTGTGTGGGAGATCGTCCCAGGGCTGCGCCTCGGAGACGGCAGTGACGCTGACCCATTTTGGACTCTTGAATTCTACGAAAGGGAGCAGGTTCGCTCGGCTTTTCTTAAGGCTCTACCGTAAGTTGATGTTTCTTCTGTATTCGATAATGGATCTAATCATTGTCGACTACGTAGTAAGCTGCATGAGTACGGGTGGTTCCCCCGTGTGTGCGAGGCAAGCAGCCTAGTTTGGCACCAGGAGACGCAAACACTGTACGTTATTGCTATATTATCCAAAACGAAAAGGTGACGAACTTACTAATTCACTCCATATAGCTACTTTATCGGACCCTTTGAGAAGGCCGGCAATCCCGATCGTCCGATTATGTTCGGTGCCAACTGGATTGCGCATTTCGATCTCGCCAAGCCGGACCCCTCTACGGATGAATGTGATAGTGACTGGGATAAGGATACTTCACGCTGGCAATGGTAACTGAGAAGGAAGCATCGGCGATCGCGCCACTAACCTGACCTTACGCTGGACTCTCGCCTTAGTTGGCTCTACCCACCAGGCTTATTTAAACAGCTTGTCTTAAATGAGCGATCTTGGGCTGGTGTTGGACAAAGTCAGCATGTTTCCTCTATAGGTAAGCGAACTCGTCGTCTTGGGTAGCTTATACATCGAGATAGTGTGGCACCCGGGTATTCTTGCGATTGGTCTATAGTATAACTATAGTATAGCTCCAGCTGACCATTTTAGATCCCCTTGACACGGTTCGATCATTTCCCACATACTATAGGTTCGTACTATCCCACCCTCGACACTCATCTTTTTGATTAACTCTGTCATTGTATGCATTGGACGATTTTGACAGGGTTGATGCACCTACACGGGTCCGTATTCCTGGATGTAGGGTGTATAGGGTAGTGGTGGCACGCTAAGCCTTGTTTGGCTACCGCCGTGATGTCCAGAGCACTAGGTGAAATAACCACGATTCTCCCTCCAAAAGCCACGCACAATCGTGGCCTTTCCATCGTTACCCCTAATTACTCCGTAACAAAATAAACAAACTACTCCGTACTTATCTATTTTTTTTTAACCATCCTAAACAATTCTCCACCTCGAACAGACCCATTGGGTACATAGATAAGGGGTACAGGACACTCGCCTCAAAAACCCCCTATCTCATCGACAAGGTCCCTAAGACTCGGCTCCACTTACTCCGTGCAGTAGCGCGGATTGAGGCCAAAGGGTACAATATCGTAAACAGAAAAAGTCCACACCGCCTGAGCTCCAGAGCGGAAATTGTTCCGGAGCTATTCACCGCCCAGCACATCAACCCTGCTGTATGAACCCATCAGCATCAACAAACCTCCACCTTTAAAACCAATTAATTCGAAGCACACAACCTACCCCAAAATGCCCCCCAAAGTCGCCAAGGGCGAGTACATCGAAACAGTACGTCCCCGAGACTCAATCCCTCCCCCACCCAACCCCCCCACGCGCACCCACTAACCCCCGCGATAGGACACCGGGAACAAAATCTCCCGCCGGTCCCAAATTCATGGAACCCAGCATATCATCCTCGGCGGGAAGACGGTCATTCAGGGCGAAGCTGTCATTCGGGGCGACTTGTACCGCACATCCACTAGTTCAAGTGCGAGCGGCGACCAGGCGGGACAGCAGCCGTCATCGTCGTCGTCGTCGTCGTCGTCGTCGTCGCCGTCCGTCGCTATTACCATCGGGCGCTATAGTTATATATCGAAGCAGGCTGTGCTGAGGCCCCCGTCCAGGCTACATCGGGGCGTGCATTCGTTCTATCCGCTGAAGATTGGGGACCATGTTTTTGTGGGGGAGAGGGCGGTTGTGGAGGCGGCTAGTGTGGGGAACCATGTGCATATTGGGAGGGATGCGGTGATTGGGAGTATGGCTATCTTGAAGGATTTCGCGTATGTGCTTGACGGGGCGGTTGTTGCGCCGGGCATGGTGGTGCCGAGTTGGTGTGTTGTTGGTGGTGCACCGGCGAGGATTGTCGGCGAGGTTGGTGAGGGGTATGGGGTTGAGGGGGCCGAGGGCGGTATGGCTAGGGAGAGGTATCGGTTGGTTGGGAGGTAGAGATTGTTGGCTTTGATGTGTGATGATTGTGCTTTGATCTCTTGTTTTCTGGTGTTGTTCTTATACCCCCCCTGTTGTTTAGAGTGTTTCTGTATAGATTTCATTTGATATGGTTTAACCACGTCTGGTTTACATCTCGAGAATTCATACATCCAAAATGGTCAACGAATGACTTCTAACTACCTGACGTCCACGAGTGGAGATTCGTTCACGATCATTAATATCCACCTATTTAAGCCAGAACATATCATCGATCTGGCTTTAGTGCCCGTTCACACCATTCTGGGGGCAAAGCTCCCGCACCAATCTGCTTTCATTGCTGGTGTACTCTTGGCCCGCCTCGGCGCGAGCCATGTCGTTGATCCATCGCCCGTTTGGCTTAATCTCTTCGGACTTGGACAGCTTTGAAGCCATGTAAAGCCAGTTCAGTGAATTGCCGACGGTGCTCACTTCGTCGCATACATTGTTGAGTGCGAACTTGTGCATGCGTTCGTACAGCTCATCGTCCGTACAGAGGTCCAACAAATGCTGGGCCACGGCGTCGGTGTCCCCCACCTCCACGAGGAAACCATTCTGTTTATCAGCCACTTGAAGAGGGATGCCACCAGCCCTGGTTGCGATGACTGGTGTTCCTTTGTGAATGGCTTCGGACACTTTCACTTCGAATCCTTCCTGTGTAGACAATTGTAGAGCCACCTTAGCCTTGGAGAGAAGGGCATTTAGCAGCTGATCTGACGGACCCAGTCGCACAACGCAAATCTGCTCGGCGAGATCCGGGAGGTTTTCCTCGATGTGGGTGACTACTGCATCGTAGATCACCGTACCGTCTGGATCATCAACAGAGCCGTGGCCGCATATCAGCAGCTTGGGGGCCCGTCTGTCGGGAAACGCAGCGGTGAACCGCCGATGGAATTTCACGTACGATTCTACAACCTCTGGAATGCCCTTCGACGGGTCAAAGCGTGCAATCTGAGCGATATATTCATCTGTTTTCATGTCGCTATATGTCAGTTTACAAAACTTTCAACGTAACTGCACTGCGTGGGTAGCAGTATCGCACCTTCAGGGTAGTCAATCGTGGGCATGCCCGAGTTTCTGCAAAAGGAGTTAAAAACCCGGCCATAATAGGCAATGTCCCATTCTCGCATGTTCTTGTTCAGACCATCCAACCTAAAAGGGCTTGTCAGTCACATTCTTCAGTGGCACCAGGTACTGCCTTACCAGTCCGTCGACGCAGGCATGTATCCCACCTTCTCTCGGGGCACGTTCTTAGGCACGAAGGACTTCACGGGGTGACTAATGTAGATATCTGCAAGTTTTATGTATTCCCAGATTCGCCCCCAAGCTTCTGCCTGCGGAGTCCCCGGTTCGTCAATCAAGTCACTGCGAAGTTGGATGTGACTGCGAAAGATAACCGGTCGGTCCGGAGCAATTTGCTTCGCGATGGGAATTAACGCGGGCATCTGCGGGTCATCAATGATGACCACGTCGGCACCCCCGTCTTTGGGGTGTTGCAGAGGGCCTCCAGGGATCAACCAGTATCTCTTCGCATTTTCATTGACCCACTCCGTCACCTGTGCCCAGTCCTCCTCGCTCAACCTCTCCTCAGGGGAAGCGACACCCTGCAAAATGTTGTGGTTGTTTTTGGTTACACGGAAGACGCCCGGCCGTGGTTTGGGCACGTACCTAGACCACAGGGTCAGTTGACGTCCGACTACCATGGAGAAAGCCAAGCAATTCTACGATTGAGTCTTACCATGTGATATCGGTTCCCAACGAATAAGAGAATCTCACAAGAGAATGTCTCATGAGGGCTACACCTCCACCTTGAGGGGTGGCACTGAAAAAGGCAATTTTCGTTTCTCTTTCCTTGAGGTCATTCGCATAATGTTGAACTGCCTTCCAGGTCTTGGGATAAACCGTTTTCTCAAAGTCCTCCAGGTTGGTCAAGCGCACATGGAATGCCGTGTCGACCTCGACTATACCAAGGAAGCCGACCTGAAGCAGAGGAATATTCTCTGGGCCAAACAAACTAGACAGCTTCAGCATTTGTCACATCACCGTGAACCGAAACCCTTCTTACCGAACACATTTGCGGCCCATTGATTCGGCCTGTTCGTCAATGCCTCTAACCTTCCAGGTCTTGCTGTCAGGAATACCAAAAGTGAACTTATCATCTCCCTCCCTTCTACTTCCTTCGGGGAGCACTAGAGGTATGATATCAAGCTCAGCCCAGAGCCTTGAGCACAGGCTGGGGCATTTTTTCGCGATGCGCTCTGGCATTGCTAGACCAATGAACTTCTCCATATGGATGTCACTCCATTCTTGCAATTGGTTTATCACGAATTTCTCCAGCACGGGGCATAACGACTGGCCATCTTTTAGGGAGAGCGATTCTTGAATGAAGTCTAAGAGATAGGTGGTATCGCGAATGGCGATTGCAATTGTCACCGTTCCGTCCTCGACTAACGTCGATAGACCAGCGTAGATGGTCTGGTGAAACGAAGAAGTTAGGGCTTGCAAAACTCAACTGATGAAGCAAATTTACATACCCCAGAGGGAGGCGCAGCCCAGGAATTGTTTTCATGCTGTAGAGAGAGACGACGCTGCTGACGCAGAGACGAGCGACGACGTAATATGGCGTTCGAATCGTCAGCCATGGCTCACTTGATTAATTTATGAATACTATAGCTGGACGAGAATGGATGCAGTACGAAATGGTTTATGAAGAAAGTGGAAGACTGAGAATTGTCTAACAAGAATAAGGTACACTAGATAAACCACATATATATATAGATAGAGGATGCAAACCTCATGCCACAGGACTTTTTGCTTTGTTTGCTGTCCCAAAACCTGGGGTGAATTGAGATTGGGATTCGGCGGTCCGGTGACCTCATGATTCTCGGCCCATGACGTACAGAGTACAGCATCGCCCGTGACAGGCATCAATCAAGAATTACATTTGTCGAAGTACGACGAGTACACACGCACATGTTCATCGGACCATGCAAGTCTCGCTACAGACGCCTCATGAGGGGATAGGGAAGAACAGAAGCACAAGCCGACAAGGCTCGCGCAGGAAGGTCGGGGAATGTCATACCATAGAGACCAGGCGTGGTTGCACCCGACGGAAAAGAAACGCTTCGGAGCTTTGAATGGTACGAGTATGGACAAAGTACAACCGGGATCCAGAGCCTGATCTCAGTTTCTCGATTTTGATTCCCTCCTCATGAAATCACAATGCCAATGAGGAAGATACTACTTACCGGGGAGGGGAAACAGGGGCCGTGGGGCCATGGAACCGGCACTATTGCCATCACGATGAAGATGAACTGCTTACGGGTGAAACAACCGAGATGCTTGGCAGGAATCGCGGGGCTTAGTCATGCGGCAGCCCCTTTTACGGAGTCCGAGTTCAATTGCCCAGCGCGCAGACCCTCGTCGTCCCTCCTCGTGTGGATCGTCGCCTCTTGAAACTCTGGGCCCAATTAATTAAACTATTCATTTCACTTTCGCTCCTTCTGCCACATTCACTCGTTTCTTTTCTATCGTTACATTTTGGTTCAGCCTGTGTGTTGCCTTTTTTTTTTTTCCCTCCCTCTTTCCTTTCTTTACTTTTTCTTCTGCTACCTCCCCTTCGCCGACAAGGTAAGTTCGATTTGTCTCTTGTTCACCTTGCGTCCTCTCCTGCGACGGTCTTGATTGAGATCGCCTTGGTTGACGCGGAGATTGACAGCACGGAGTAATCGACCTTACAGCGGAATTTCTCACGCTTTTCCCTCCACCCCCCTGCTCGTGTTCAACCGCAATTGAAACCCGGTCCTAATTCCGATCGCAAAACACGATTGAGAACTTCTGCGCTCAATCAACAATAACACCACCTCTCTTTTACGCTTTCACTGTCGGTGACCTCAGGAGTCAATAACCCCTCGCCAAAATGGGTGGTCAAGTTTCCAAGTTAATGGGGAAGATCTTCGGAACGAAGGAAATGCGGATTCTGATGTTGGGTTTGGATGCTGCTGGAAAGACCAGTAAGTCTGCACCCCTGAATTGGATCACCTCGCTGTGTGCTATGGAAAGGATTAGAGAAGCTGATGCGCGTGTGAAACAGCAATCCTTTACAAGCTGAAACTCACAAACCAGGAGGTCACGACCATCCCCACTGTTGGGTTTAACGTCGAAAGTGTAACCTACAAGAATGTCAAGTTCAATGTGTGGGATGTCGGTGGTCAGGACAAGATCCGGCCACTGTGGAGACACTACTATTCCGGTATGGCCCATCGCAATCCGCTCAGGCAAACCAGCTAGCGACGATAAACGCTGACCTTGTCGGTATTTTTATAGGAACGCAAGGCTTGATCTTCGTCGTTGACTCCAGTGATACGGCCCGGATGGAGGAGGCTCGTTCCGAGCTTCACAAGATCATCAATGATCGCGAAATGAAGGATGCTCTTCTCCTAGTGTTCGCGAACAAACAAGATATTCAAGGCCGTACGTATCTTGAGAACCACCAGAACATTGCGCCCACTAATTTACTCCCCGCAGATATGAGCCCCGAAGACGTTACCAATGCGCTCCAACTCAACAAGCTAAAGGACAAGCTATGGTATGTCGCGCCTAGCGTTGCTACCGAGGGTACTGGTATCTTCGAAGGACTTGTAAGTTTCACCTCTCTACTTTTGGTGTCCTCTATCAATCTCTGACATGGAAATTCTTGCAGGCTTGGCTTTCCAACAACGTGAAAACGCCGGCCCAAAAATAATTCCATCCCCGCCGTCCACCCTTTGCGCTGTAAATTCAGGGACCTTAATTGCATGGCTCTCGTGTATAATATTTCCTTATCTCGTTCGGCCTCTTTCGTTCATGTCCGCTTTGATGACAGAAGACGCAGCATTTGCAGTATGTTTACATTTCACTTCGTGCGCATGCTTTACCCATTTCTTGATCTACTTTTCGTTTCCTTACCTTCTCATGATATCCCTCACTGTTTCTATGCGGGCCATTTATATACTCTTTTTTTAATTAATCCTTCCCCCTTACTGTCGACTGCCTTTCTCCTTTCGACGCATTGCTTTCGCATTGAGTAGAAACGTCTTGAAAATAGAGAGAAATTTGGACCAACATACACACGAAACTTGTCTTACCTACGTCTTCAATTCATTGTTGAAAATGCATACAATCACATGTACACTGACAACAAAGTGAAATCGTCCATACCCCTGATACCGAAGCCTGGCAAAGGACCCCATGCTACCTGGACTCGAAAACCGCACCTCCTGCTAAGCTTCACCACGGCCGTCCATATATTGAAAGCCAAGCCATAATTTAGCCTATATGCAAGGGTGGGCGGGAGCTATTGAAACCTTCTAGTATATACTAACCAAAAGTAATCATAATTACCGACCTCCTATTCCCATAACGAATCAAATGGACCCCATGTTCCAGCTTCGCACTAGTATATAAAACAATCGCATTCAAATAAACAATAGGGACCACCCATACAAAGAGGGCGAAACGGCATAATTGTTGGAATGAATTGCTATCTAGGAATGTCGACTTGACACTAGTGACACAAGTCCTCGTCATCTAGTTTAGGTCTGCCAGGCATATACAACTTACCAAACCCCCTTTTATACCCTATACCGTATATCAACCGCCGCCAACATATCCTCGAACAGAAATATTCATTCATCTCCAAACCAAATATCCAGTATATCAACCAAGACAATACTCCCATGTCACTCGCCGCAGCAGCGAGGTTGGTACGAATTAAAGAAATTGATCTCAACTAGAATTCGGCTGGAACAGAGAAAGATAGCTTTTAGCAGGTTCCGCTAGATTTTCGCCTGCTAGTGGCTTGAGGGATACTGACATAAAGCTTCACTTCAGCTGTGCATCGAATAACTCGACCATGGAGTAGACATGGGAAGATACGGGTCTACGTGCTTGCTTCACTTGGAGTAAAAGTTTCTTAAAATTTTATGAGTCTATACCAAGTACGGCCATGATTGCGTGTTTCCAGAGAGTTTGATTGTGGACGACTCTCCAGTTCCATATTCGATGTATTAATGTGAAATTGCACAAGCCAGCATTGAAATGAAAAGATGTCTAGTATGTGTGAGTTGCGCTATCATCCACCCTGAACATATTTACCTAGCCAAGTCAAAACCTTCCTGGTCCATTAACGTTAAGCCCAACGTCTGTTTCGGAAATCCCGACTGCAGCGTTTCATGCTTGGGCACATGACATCCCCAAAGATTCAACAGGAACGGAGAAGACCAGTCCTGATTGTCTGACTGCAGCATGCGGGACATTACATGATGAGACTGCTAACAGCGAGATTGACTTTGGACCCACTAGCTAAGGATGTATAAATGGTGGCTTGGTGTTGTTGGCTTCCAAGGTCCTCTCCTTATGATTACTATATTAATCGCCGAGCAGACCATGGGGCATTATGAACTGAGTTGAATCACTTATTATTGATCAGGTATATACATATCCAGAAGCGAACCCACTAATCCCACTCGGGGGTATTGGTCAACTCTGTACAAAGACATAACTTCGTCACGTTCATACACACAAATACATCGCCGGTCACCCAGCCCGAGTGTGTCTCATTGTTGAAAATCGACATCAAGCGACAACCATACCTACTTAAAGCTCACCAGGCCAGATGTCATTGGCAATTTCCCGGACAAGCTTCAGCTTGGCAATCATGCCGTTTCGGTCAATGGCATTGCCTTCTCTGTGGCTTGCGAAGCCACACTGTGGGCTAACACCGACCTGTTTCAACGCCTCCTCAACAGAGATGTTGTTGCCTTCTGCGATGAACTTAGCGGCGTCGTAGACGCGCTTCTTCATTTCTTCCTTGTCCTCAAGCTCGGGGAACTTGCTGGTCACGACACCTAGAATGACATTCTTGTGCGTAGGAAGTTCCTTCAGTGGCTCGAAGCCACCGGCGCGAGGGGTGTCGTACTCGAGGTAGTATGTGTCGACATTGAGCTCCTTGAACAGCTTGGTTGCAATACGGTCATATCCACCTTCAGAGAAGTGACGGCTACCGACGAAGTTACCACGGCAAATGTGTACACCAATGTGGAAATCGGCGGGACGCTTGGAAAGCAGATCGTTATACAGCTTGATGTACTTCTCGAATGTCTCATCGGCAGAGATCACATTCAATGGGTCTGCTTTCCAGCCCGCAAGCATCTTCTCAGAGCAGAAGTCTGTCGGCATTGTCCGTCAATTTTTCGCAATTTAACATAGGAATGTTTACGGAAAGAAAACTCACAGGCAAGGTTGGGGTCGTCAAATTGAACATTCCTGCAACCGGCATCATAGAGGATCTGGAGCTCATCCTGGTATGCCTTGGCGATGTCGCCGAAGTACTCGTCATCGGTGGCATACACATTCTTCGGGTATGCCTTGCCCTCCTTATACCGCAAGTGATACCAGTTAGGAGCAGCTAGGGTGAGTTTGATGTTCTTGACCTCCTCTGGGGGAACGACGCTCGCCATGTACTTGAACTCGTCGATATAGGTGCTACCGACGTGCTTGATTTTGCCAGTACAGATGACACTCTCACCAGGCTTGTGTCCAGCTTCGAGGAAAGCAGCGACATCGGGAGCATAGGGACGGAAGACATCGGCATCGACGTCGTTGACTTCCTCAAAACCATCAAGTCCAGGGAAGAAAGATCCCCAGAACACTGGATACAAGTTTAATCATTAGCATCATGCCCTTCTACACAAAAGACCAAGTCCTCCCTTACTGTGTCTGCGGTATTCTCCATCCGAGACGGCGGCGTAGCCAAGCTTCTTCTGAGTTTCAGCAATCTCCTTGATATCCTTGTTCTCGACAGCGGCAAGATCAGCCTCAGAGACCTGCCCCTGTTCATAGGCTGTCTTTGTCTTTAACAGTTCATCGGTACGAAGGAGCGAACCAAGGTGCTCGGCACGGAAAGGGGGGTTGTGGTGAAGCTGATGGGCCATATTGAAGAGTCCTGAGGCGATGATCCGGTCAGTATGTATTGAAATGCCCCAATGTCTCTTTAGTTCGTACCTATTGCCAAAGGTAGTGATTGAGCAGTATTTCGAAAGACAACCTTGACAATTGCAGAACGGGACCCCTTAAAACAGCAGAGGGGGGGCACCCCCGAACTCGGACCCAAGCAAAGGAATTCTATTTCACATCGATTCGCCTTCGCCGCGGCTCGAACCTTTCACTAATTGCCGAATGCTTCTACGTTCTCTGAAGTGCCCCACCGCAGAGGCTCTCTCCACATCCTGACTCGGGGAGGAGGTAGTGGAGCTGTGAAAGAGGTATGGAGTACTGCGTATTGCCATGATAGATATGTTTGAAGTACGGAGAGAATGACACGGACTTGTTGACTCTTGACATCATGTCAATGGAGATGCCTGGTTGATGAAAAGGATACAGGATCATAGATTGACAAGACCGGTTTTCCTTCGTGGGAGGTAAGAAAGATGAGGCAAAAAGATCTAAAGATTAGATGTGGGTGGGTGGACTAAGCTCTTGATAACCATGGTACCCTGTTACATAACATTCATTGCCTTCTGGAATACCTCTCCCTCTGTAACTGACTGACTGACTGGTCCGTCAACAGTACCTGTTCGACTGACCGTACTTCGTAAGTAGAATATACAGCCATCCCGGTAGATTCTACTATCGAGAGTCCTCTTGGAGTGGAATGCTTGGCGCGGACGCTAAAAAAGACCAACATTGGACATGTGGGGCATTCGTCCCAATCCAGAAGGGGTTTTACCGCAATTCTCCAGAGCTCCCTTGCATAACTTCCTCAATGACATTCATACCTTCCATGTCCCTTGGATAGAACTCAGCCTTGCTCCTAATACGAATCGTCCTTAGAAAACCCTTTTAAAGAGCTTAAAAGCGTGTTATCGGTGAGTCTATTGCTGTCTTGAAACTGTTTCCCTTAAACCTCCGGAAGAGTTGGCGGAGCTCGTGTGACGTATGTGGGGTCGCCACGGCAGTTGATGTCGGCCTCCTTTCCCGACCATCATACACAGTATATGACCACCTCCGTCACATCTTTTAGTACGGCACGGACATTGAAGCAGTACAGATCAATCGCCCTGCTCAGTCGATGAAAATTCTAGCAGCTGCGGTCGAAATGTGATAGTCATGGGACACTAATTTCCTCTTGCAGGATATGCCGCATGCGATAATGGTTTCTCGAGGATCATCGTTGGAAGCTCTACCGAATGAGCTTCTGGACGAGATTATCTCCAATCTGTCATATCCGCCCCCTTCATTAGCCAGGCTACACCAACCGCCAAGCAGTAATATCGTCAAGTCGGGTACCCGGGATCTGAAGAACCTCTCATGCACCTCTTCGCGTTTGCTCGAGGTCACACGACCCCGATTATTCTCTCACGTTTGCTTTGATCTCCAGGATGTAGATGAGTTTCTCTCCTTTATATCCGATTCAAGTCTAGCTCGACATGTAAGTTCAGCCGTGGTCAAAGGGCAAGACTTCTCGGATAATCGAGAGGATCCATTCTGGTGGCGCCGGGCATTGTCCTATCTTGATCCACAGCGCATTACAGTCATTGCATCGCCTTCGTTTATTGGCAAAATGGCAGGCGCGCAGATATTCGAGGGGCATAGCTGGGCTTTCCAAACCTCACTTCAGATCTTGCAGTTAGAGCAGGACACTCGAAGCTCTGACCCTCCACCACTATCTCATCTTGGAAAGTGCTCCACGCTACTTGAAGCTCGATCGTGGTCCTCGCTACTATTCAACGAGTCTTCTTCTCTCAAGGCTTATAACCACTATGAATACTTCCTGTTTCAGGTTCCTTCACTGTTCAACACATGGGGCTCATTAGCGCACGTTAAACCTCGTCCGCAAAAGTTAACCTCACCCCCCGCACTGAGCAATTTGACGTCCTTTCGGTACACTGCCGTATTCCCGTTCTATAATCATGTCAAATTAGTCTTAAATGCAGTGGAGCTGATGGAGAATTTACGGTCATTGAGTGTCCAGTTAGCACCGTGTGAGGGCGACAAGGCTACCGAGCTAGAACAGAGGGGGTCTATGGACCCTAGTGACCCTTGGATGGAAATCGCTACAGGCTATTCGCTTATCGGGCATTCTGTAAGTAACTTGGGTAGCAGGGGCGGCCTTTCTGAGTTTTGTGCCTGCGACTATGCATTCGACCCTCTACGGGCCGAGTTATCCCCCATACTGGACGAACTCCTAGACGAAAGTGGATGGGCCCACAACGGCCAAGGGACTTGGACTAAGAAGACCATATGTTCTGCCGCTTGTGCGCCAGCAACAGCGGAAACCATTGTACAAACAGTCATTGCTTAACATATGGTCAAAGACGATGCCGCCTTTCAAAACGCGCTGGGTTTGTGTGACCGGGATTCTCAAGAACCGCTACTGTGAGGCTTTTGTATAGAAAAATGTGTTGTACAAAGAAAATATATACAGGGCTAGGGAGCATTACACATATACAGGTCCGAAATGGTCCTGCTCCCTTATTCCCTATCGATGTATATGATATTGGTGCCTTAAAGCTAAGGCCTGAGCACGTGGAATGGAGTTAATTTTCGGATGCAGTCTTTTCTTTACCTCTTGACATCTAAGATACTAGTGCCAGTATACCACACCTCAACCTCCAGTGTGCACCAGGTCTGCTCAGTGGATTCTTAGCGAAATCCATAGTTCTGCCATAATAATTCAACATAACTGTCGCCAAAATAGTTTCTCTGTCAGGAATGACCTGTACGAGCACGTCATACTCATCAGTTCTAATTTCTAATATGGCCTCTGCTTCTACTCCATACAGTTCTGCGCCTGCATCCCCAACTCTTGCCCATATTCTTTTGTCACAACCACATCACGGTCAGATTTCTACGCCAGGAACCTGGGATCTCAGGGATGACATTCGTAAAGCATTCAAAAGCCCTGCACATAGTGTCTTCCGAAAAGGAACCGTAATTGGGTTCTCGAAACTCAGAAACCAAGCCAAGGGAAACGATGATATGGAATTTTTAGGCCAAGTATTGAGCTTCCTATTTATTTCGTTCTGCTCTCTTCCAACCGCTGCTCTCTTCCTTGTCACCACAAACATCAACTCAACTGATGATGATCGCTTGCTAGGTTTCACGATCAATACTTGCAGCACAGCTGTGTGAAACATCATCGCCGTCAAGTTCTTGTGCTAAAACATATATAATCCACCCTGCAAATCTCGATATATTCTCTCCACAAAGGCTCCTTGAGTCTTTGTTATCTGCATCTCAACAGTCACCCTTGACGCGCGATGAAGCAATCTCACATCTGGACTCTGTCCAATTATTCCCTGTCTTCGATATGGCTGCCGCTGTACAAGCGATAAGTGAAGTCTCCGATGCTCTGTGTAGGTATAAAAAGGAATGGAAATCACAGCAGACTCGTCAGGTAGAATCCACAGGTGATAATGACTGCCGCGTTTTCCTCGTCATTGCCGGACTTGACACTCTTACCGAAGGAGTCGTCCGCGCTTCCTCCACAGTCAGAGGAACAGCCATTCTGTCAAATTTACTGCGGACTTTAACACAATTGTCACGAATGTACAGCTCTTATCTTTCCGTGATGCTTGTCAATACTAGCGGGCTTGGAACGTTGACGTCCGACACGCACGCTGCCCCAGGTCAATTGCAGCAAGGGAGAAATCCGGGGAACAACCCGCAGACTTCTCGCGAGAACGGGATTCACTCCATATTTCACGCAAGTGAGAAGTTGTTTCCTAGTCTTCTTATGCGAACATTGGAGCAGGGAATCGATGCTCATCTTCTGTTATCGACTGTCAAACCCGCACACGTGGTTGAAGTTATTAAAGACAGGGTAGGCAACGGCGTTGGACGATGGTGCATCTGGGACAAACGAATAAATTGAGCACTGGTCCCGAAAAGTTACTTTTGTTTGGAGCTGCACTATTATATATCAAGCAGCCCATTTATTTGTATATATTATCAAATCTTACGCCAGCCTCGTCGAAAATAGCAACCGTGGCCCAAACTACCCAAATGTGCACACCAACTCCATATCGAAATCCCTGCGTTTTGCTTCCTTCCGCGAACAAGGGTATCATTTATGCAAATGACCTATAACAGCACTGCAAAATAGCACTATAATCTCTTGGATCAGCCTAACATCGGCTTCACTGACATCCGTTTTGGGCATTTTCTTTTTCAGCCCACATCCTGAGAACAGCTCTCTCCACGACGTTTTGAGCTTCCTTTTCACACTTTGCGAGATCCTGATCAACTGTATCCTCCTCGAATAAGATCTCTTGTTGTTGAACCTTGACCCATTGTTTATGTCTCTCACAGCGCTTCTTGGTACAAATCCCTCGAGACAAGCTGTTGATGTCATCCTCTTCGGTTTTGGCGCCATTCATGACGGTGTCACCATCTGCATCGGTGGTATCAGGATAGCTAGACGCCAGCGCCTCAGGAGTGCCATCCTCAAGTGTTTTCGCCCCAACTTCCGATAGCCTCCATTCGTCGAACTCTTCATCAGACCAGGCTAACCGTGAGTCAAAACCGCAGATATCTTTCCATCCGCCTTTAGGTTCGGCGTGCTTCAATCGTTCTAGTACACTCTTGGACCGTTGACGGACAAGATTCACGAATGTGTTACGCGCATTGAGCATATCCTTGCGATGAAGCAGCTCATCACGTCGTTTGCGTAATTCTTCGATTTTCAAAGCCTCATCGGGTGAGTATGTAAGATCCTCAGGAGCGACATCCAATCCCAGCTTTTTCTTGCCCTTCTCTTTTATGTCTGTCTCGGGTTCATCGGGTGGTAGTGAGACAATCTGTTCGCCAAGCTTGCGAAATTCGGCCGCTGAAGATACATCCATTATCACGGCCTTGAGATCACCGGCCGTGAGGATTCCGCCTCTGCTCCCAAGGTCTTCCATCTTGTTCTCGGGGGCCGGACTCATATTGAGGTACTGGGCCTTCAGGCGCATGAATTCCCGACCATGCTCGTCCGAACAGTATTTGCTAAGAGTATTATTGTTAAAACGAGCAGGCTTCCGACAAGAGGGCACGCGACACATTGGTTTCCATGTAGTACATCCCTTGCCCTGCTCTTTGCAGTTGGGGCCTAGTTTGATATTAGCGAAGAACTGTTATCGCAAGAGGAAAACACCAGCCAGCATAATAGCAGCAAAAGAAAATGCCAAAGGAGAGAGACTCACATATATACTTGTCAATCAAGTCAGCATCTTTTGGATCAATGTTAACACACTTTCCATGAAACCAGTCGTCGCATTCGCCATCACAGGCAATCATCCATGTATGATTATCAGGCTTACGGCAGATACAGAACAACTCGTTCTCATCTGTTGAAGCTTCTTCCTCCTCTTCTCCTTCTCCTTCTTGTTCTTCATCGTTCTCCTCTTCTTTCACTGCAGCTTTCTTCGGGGCCTTTCTCTTCTTAGCACCTTTCTTCTTCTTTTTCGTCCTGCTTTCGGGTGCTGGAGAGCTCGCTACTGATGCAGAGCCCTGCTTCTTGGTGCCAGGGGTTTTACTGGTGCGAGAGGAAGGGGTGTTGGATTGATGGCCATCAACACTTTCAGTGTCTTCTTCGGTAATCTTGCGCTTTTTGGCAGTTGACTTCCTTGCCGTACCCTTTTTTCCACTACCAGGTGTTGATTTCCTACCTGAGGTGGGTTTCACAGAATTGGCAGGCGATGACCGATCAGACGACGAGGCTCGCGAGCCTCGTCCATGTTTCAGATCGGCAATTTTCTTCGGTGTCGGGTGTTCCATGGGCGTATTTACGCCATCAACCTGAGACAATATAGACTTGTTGTCGATTTCATCGTTTTCAGGAACCTTGTCCAAAGTCACGTTTGATGGTTCGGATTTAACTTGTGGCCCTGGCGTATCTTGAGTCGCTTCGAGCTTGGAGCCTACTTTTGCGTTCAGGAGGTTCTCATAAAGATCAGCCCATGCTTCAACATTGCCACCAGCCGCCGCTAATGAAGACCATGCGGGCATTCTGAACCGTCGGTGTATCGTGTTTGCCCTTCCGAACCCAAAATATCCGCTGTGTCGCCAACCCATAATGCCCACGACTCGGTCATCGTTAACGATTATATTGGAAGGAGTCATATTGTTGTGTACTAGGCACAGGATTTCATCTTCCTTATTCTCTTGGAACAATACATCTTTCTCCATCTCCTGTATTTCGGGCGGTAGCTGAGAGTTGAGTCCACTGCAAACGTACGACGGGCTGTCGGGGGCAGGATCGATGCTTGCCATGTGCTCGAGGATCTGACGGCATTCTTGCTTGAACTTGTTGATTTTTTCGGTGCTGAGATACCTCCAGGCGACTTCTAGAGAAACACCCGGAATTCTGGACTCCACAGTGACATTCTTCCCATCAACTGTCCCACAGAAGTGTATTACCGGAACGGCGACGTCAAGTGCTCTAAGCGCATCCTCTGCTTTCCTTGCTGCGCTCAATTCATTCGCGTTAGCGCAAGAGTACCTTTCAGCTGTTGTGTCGACCACATCGTCCTTGTCAACTCGGATTGTTACACTGCCAACAGAATAAGCCTGGCGGTCCTCTTGCAAGTTCATGGAATTCTCTGAGCTCAAGTTCTCTTTCACTATGCCCTCCCAATGCGAAACCGCATCGGGATCGGATTGCCACCAGTGATCGTAGCGGGGTTTGAAATCATCGTCTCGCGGAGCGTAACGACCGTAATGAGGGCTTTGCTTAAGGAAAGGGTCATCCTGCGGTATATTATCCGGATTTGTTTCATAGGGACTTATAGCCGTCGTATTATCACCATTGGGACCATGGGCCTGACTGACGCCAGTAGGTGTGGGCGCCCTGCCAGCCATCGCGCAACTTCAAACAATGCGGTAGTTGCCCAGGCAAGCGATTACAACAATGTTAATCAACTCAATCCAAGTAATATCCAGACCTTTATAGTCAAATTTAGCGTTAAGGCGAAGGAGCTAGATTATGTTGTGTCGACTATGTGGTATATGTCGGTCTCGTGACGTCCAGAAAAGGCATCATGGAAGCTGGCACAAAGTCGGTAGTGTCAAGAGTTACGCTGATCCCGAGTAGGCAGAGAAATCTATCCAAGCGCTCATATGTATTGTACCCTCAACGAACTGTTCTGGTAAAAGCGACAGTGGTAGTGACAGCAACGGAGTTTCGGAGGTCGATGCGGAGTTGCTGAACGCGCGACTGCGCGATGAGGATGTAAGAGGAGATCAACAGATGGGCGACACGACCTAAGGATAATCGAATAATATTATCCTACAGGCTCGACACCAGGAACTGGACGGCTGTGAGAATAGACGCGCGTGGTCAACCCCCAGGTTGGACCTTTCGGGGAGCTCAGAATACTTTCAGATTTGCAATTCTGCCGCGGACTTTACATGAAGGCGGTGTATGTTATCTCCGACGTGGTCAAGCAGTTTTATCTAACAGAATTCCAGCTCTTTTAGTTTATAGCTTGCCACAGGCTGTGAAAATTTAACGGTTCCTAACATCGCAGGGTTTATATGACTTACAGTCTACTGTTCATGAAACTGCGATTGCCTTTCGGTGAAGTACATTACATATGGATGTAATTGATCCCATAGAGGGGGTCGGCTCGAGCAGGGACGTTGTACCATTTCGCAAATTCACTCTGGTGCCAAATATGTAGGCAGGGGTTGAGTAGCGAAGGGATCACGCCGTTGAGCATAACTGACTGCGCAAGAACGTTTGTTTATCTGCTCTACCGCCAAGGGAATAGGGATCGAGAGCCAGTGTACTCTGTAACTAAGACCCCATTGGTCCTAACCATACTTACCTTCTTTACTTCGTAGCCTGGTTCAGCTTAGACAGATAAACTCAGAGGTGTCCAGGAGAGCCATTGTGAGTCTCACTTCGCGGTTCAAAGAAGCTGCGCGCGGCCATTGCAGGTCAGGTAGTACTGAAGATTACTAGAGGAGCTAATGCATAAGGCCAAAGTTAAAAGAAGCGACAGTTTATGGAGTCGAACAATGACAGAAAGGGTTACTCCGTAGACAATTACTCGATTAGAAAGTGCTACTCCCAAAGGGGGCCAAAAAGTCCAGTATTGGACCAGCGATCGTGCATGATACCGAAAGGAGGTAGTTACTAGTTACTAGTACTAGTAGTTCCCATGTGAATGGGATGAATGGTACAAGTATGTGGGGGGGGTGTGAATGTCACCCAAAAATCAGGTACCAATTCCAACCCTCACTGGACCAATGCCACCCTGCGCTGTTATTTATGGGCGTGGATGATCAACTAGTAGCATTCGAACCGGGCGGAATGGTGATTGGCCCTAGGAACAGGCTGAATCACGACGGGTTCTAGACGCTGGACGGATGCACAACCGAATCGGAAAAGACGATGGGCCTACGCCTTTGGGTTTAGTCGTCCGCCTTCCCATCTAATCTCGAACTCTCCATCCTTCGGCTTCAACGCTTCAAATCCCGTCACCAAAAACCATCTGATTACTGGTTACTGATATCCCTGGATTCAGCTTATTTCCACTATTATTACTCTTCTATTCGATTCTTCTTACCACCCCCGCCACCTCCACATCCTGGTTCCTCGAGAGCGTCGCCTCATGTCATCATTCGACCTCGTATAGTCTCAGCCGCATCGTTCTTCTCTGCAAGTGAGACGGTCGCTTCCAGGCTGAGGCAATCGCAGATCAATTCCTATTCACCTACCTTAAGCCGCAGATCCCATCTGTTTGGAGTCTCTGACGTTTCCCTCCAACGGTTGCCCGTAGCTCCACATCTTCCCGTGAACACTCATGGACACAGCCCTCTATATAAGGTGACTGACAGAACCATCAATGAAGAGGATCTACAAGGTTTCTTTCTAATACGCCAAGTCGATTGACGCCGTCGCGACATCTAGATTGTTGACATTGATCGTCTTGTTCTGACTTGCTTTCTGCTGCTGTGCCTTCTGGCTACCGACTAGTCCACGTTCGGACTCGCACTTTGCGGGGCCCAAAATAGCATCGAGGCTTTGCATGTTTCACAATGCGCTGGGGTTGCTGCCACTGATCATATAAAGCCCAACTCTCACAACAGCGCATGAAGTACCATCGAAGAATTCCGCAGCTCTGACCCCCGAGTTGCAACTAAAGTAAACACGCAATCGTTAGAAGTGTTGACCACACAGAGGGTTGACAGAACGCAAAACCATGTCAAGTGAGCCTGACCACACGGATTCAGCTAAGCCTGCGATAGAATGGCAATTCATCGACGCTTCGAACAACAGTCGGAGCAATTTGACGCAGGTCAAGCGCCATGTGATGCAACAATACATGCGCCAAAAACGTGCATCGGGTCAGCCTAGTGATGATGCCGAGCAGACGGTGGTAGAAAGCCATAGCGCGCCACGAAAGTCTACCCGACGCCCCAGGAAGGGCAGGACGTCTACTGGGGACACTGCCCAGAAAGGAAAGGAAGAAGGCGTCAATAGTCAGAGGCAGAAAAATGTGCAGTCTTCATCAGCACAAAGGTCCAAAGTCAAAGTGGTCCCGAACAAAGATTCGATGGACGATTTGGTGGAAGAAATTGAGCGAGATTTTGGTCCTGGTGTCATCACAAGTGCTGAAAGTGCATCCCTACCAGCCAATTCTTTCTTTCAGCTTCAAGGCTATCCGCTGTCGCCCTATCTTTTAGAGAAATATGTATCTGGAAGTCAGAGTAGTGGCTCAGAGTCAAGCAATTTATCCCCATGGTCATCCACACCAACATCCCCAACTGATGTCACGCTTTCTCCAAAAACTATCCTCAGTGCAGCACGAACCGACCCTTTCAATACCCTGCCGATGGATCTTGATGCGGAGGGCCAGCGACTATTTGACTTCTATGTCAATGAGATGCCTGCCTGTTCCTATGGTAGTCATTTCCGCTCTGCCAAGGCCCATAATTGGTATACGGCAGTCTTTGTTCCAGAAGGAATGAAAGGCGCCGTCACATTCCAGAACACTATTCTCGTACATGCAGCGAATACTTGGGCTTGGGTGCGGAACGAGGAGGAGACTGACTATACACTTGTTCACCGCAACCGCGCAATCTCCATGCTCCGAGATCATATGACACGAAATCCAGGTGATATCTCCGATGTTGCAATTATTGCATGTCTCAGCGCTGCAGGTCTCGAGGACTTTGACCCTCGTCCAGGGCACAAGGAAATTAGCTGGGTACACATGCGGGCTGCGAGGGAAATGATACGGGCCCGAGGAGGACCAGCGGCCTTCGAGAATACACGGCTGGGCATGTTAATCAACTGGCAAGATTATATTCTATCTGGATATGAAACAAATGGGCTAAGCTTCTTCTTCGAGTATAACCCTTCAGTCAAACAGTCTTTTAAGGAGCCAAGTCAATGGCAAGACTCGATAACGCAAACGTCCAATCTGACGCCTTCCCCCCTTCCATCAATGCCTTTGTTATCGCCTGGGGATGCTTTATCACACTCTGCATTAATCAATCCAAGTAATTCGTTAACATTTCTGTCACCAGAGGATGAGATCCGGCATCAGTGCGACGAGTTCATCGACTTTTTGAAACGTTGTGAGGAGCTATCGATATCTCATCGATCTAACCGCGCCAATACGCCAGCTTCAGTGCGTTACACTGCGTTTCAGGAGACATCACTTCTGTATAGCATCCTTGCCGCACCACCCGGCCTACGCTTTACCGCTTCAGGCAACCGTAAACAATTTGTCGCGCGGCTGGTTGCACTGATCATGCTTAATGCAGCTCTTTGGGATTACCGAAACTCCGTGCAGCATAGCGAAACCTTCCTCTGGACATTAGAGCATGCAGTACTAGCGAGTGAGGTTGACACGAGTGGATCCGTCGAAGCACTACTTCAGATCATGCTTGAATGCAACGATGGTATAACGACACCAGACATGTCTTCTACGTCATTAGGGGACCAAGGCGTGCCCGATTTCACGCAGTATTCTCCTGCTGCCAAAACACAATACGGGCGACCTTGGTTTGCTGGCCGGATGCTCAAGGTTGCAAAGCGACTTAGCCTGAATTCCTGGATGATTGTCCACGACTTTCTCTTTTCATGTTTGACGTTATGTCTTGAGACACCTGTGTCTCTGTGGGAACGTGAACTACGGCAGGAGATCCTCAGTGCGCCTCTAACGAGCTATATCATGCCTGCTCTAGCAGAGTGACCGGATCGCTCCTTTTATCCCTATGTGGTTTGGCGCATAACTATATTTATCTAGTTTTGGGATAGATACCCTTGTCTGTTTTCTTGCCCATGAATGTACTTGATACCCAACTCTTATATAGCGAGCGGTTACAACATCCGTACTTCTTTGTTCTCTCTTTCTTTCTTGGTTTTGAACAGAAACTATCATGATCTACATATACTAGTACATATTTTGGTCTATATCTACTATGACATTTTTGCATGGCAGCTAAGCCCCAGGTTCTCCCTAGACCAGTCGCTGTCTGCAGGGTTCGAGACAGCGACAACATTGTTCTTTGGGTCCGGCTCAGGACGTCGAATATCATCCTGAGAGCCGGATGAGAAGATATGCTCTACCTCCTCAAGCGACTTGCCAGCAGTTTCAGGGTAAAAGGCCCAAGTGATGGCAGCGGCCACCCAATTAAAAGCAAAGAAGCAATAGAAGTAATTGAAGCCCATGCTCGACCTCGCAATTGGCGTGCATTGCGCGAAGACAAGGTTCAGACTCCAGTTAGTAGCGGTTGCCAGCGATGAGCCGCGGGCGCGGATTGCTGTCGGGAAGATCTCAGACGGATAGATCCAGGAGATAAGGCCAAGGCTGGTAAAGAAGATTGAGAAGACAAAGAACATAGCAATCGCGGCACGGACAGCATCCGGGTTGGCAGATGGGTCGCGAAACCCGCCGTTGGCCTGGGCTAAGGCCGCTTCTATGCACATGGTGGCACCCATGCCGAGTAGGGAAGGGATGAGCAGCTTACGACGACCCACACGGTCAATGAAAAGCATGAACACGGTATTCCAGAACTGAGCCAGGGCACCCCATATCCCCTGTAGCATGAGCGGGGTTGTGCCCTCCAGTCCTAGCGTCCTGTACAGGCCTGGATTGTAGTTCGAGATGATGTTGGTACCTGAGCATTGGGTGAACGCTTGGATGCCGCATCCAAGTAACAGGCGATGGCGCCAGCGAGCCTGGAATAGAAGCTCACGCCAGGAGTGTACGGCAGAATGTCGTTCCTCGGCAATGCTGTCGTTGATCTGGGCGATCTCGGTGTCAACCATGTGAGTATTTGACCTGTCCCGGTTTAGATGTAAGCGAGCAAGGACCTCTCGACCCGCTTCAGCGCGGCCTTTCTCGATCAGCCAGCGCGGAGACTCAGGAAGACACCATACACCACAACAGAGGATCACGGCGGGAACAGCTTGGATGGCCAGTGGGAGTCTCCAGGTAATAGCACCGGTGTGAAGGGAGCAGCCATATCCAGTCCATTGCTGACCGGGGTTAGTCAGATAAATTCGAAAGCCATACAGATGAATGAGAGTGGTATGACATACAGCGACAACAAACCCCAACCCGATCATCCATTGTTGCATAGAGCCCAGAAAGCCGCGTATATGGGGAGGAGAAACCTCACTCTAAGAAGGGGTCAGCCTGGTCCAAGAGCAATGTCGTACCAAAATGGGAAAGACGTACACAGTATACTGGAATAGCAGATGACATCAAGCCTACAGCCATACCGGCAATCAATCGGCCTGCAATGAGCATGGCGACAGTTACGGCACCAGCTTGCAATGCTGCACCCAAGCTTCCCAGAAGGCCTCCAATGAAGATGACGGGACGCCGTCCATATGGATCAGAGATGTATGAGACCAGAACAGAACCTATAATTGCGCCCCCTAAATTCCAATTAGAAAATGTTTGGCGTGCTAAAGTCGTCTATAGGTGGGCCGATACCATTGTAAGAAGCGACTATACCACCCGTGGCGGCGTCAGAGGGATGATTAAAGCGATTCTGAAAATCCTCTTGATCAAGGGTGGACGAAATTACACCGGCATCATAACCAAAGAGAAAAGAACCCAGAGTTGCGAAGACGCAGCACAGGGTAACAAGATAGTAAGCCATGGGACAAAGGCTGGTGAGTGATGTGCTCGGCGTTAGACTGAAGGTGGTGTGGTATCTATAAAGACCCCATTCGTGTATTCCACCGCCTTCTTGTATATTTCCATAGGTGATTGCTAACGGCTGATGAGATTCTTGTGAATGGGGGAATGTACTTTTTTCTGACGTTCCGTCTGGTGGCGATGTCAGAAAAGAGGAAGAATGCCAAGGCACTGCATCAGTCAAGACCACTGCGAGTTAAAATGGGAGCAATCGGGTTGACCGAGAGCTGAACAAGACCTTCATTCGCAATGATGAATACGAAGGACGTGGTGGAAGAGGAAATGAAATGGGGGTTGCTGGTGTTCTATACTTTCAAGGTATGTATGTATGTACATGTCACAAACATCCTGAGGATTTGAAATCCGCCATTGACCAGGGAAATTAAGGTTAGCTTCCTGAGGCAGTGCTCGCCTTGACAGAGGTGGAAATCCCTGCCTGAGGCTGCGCCCGGCATTCATTACCCTAGCATTTCTTCAGCCTTACCTAAAAATTGGAACAGTTTGCCCACTGACGTATAGAAAGGCTTTCCGAGACCTCCAAGACCGGGTCCGGCGCTAGACCCGAAAGGGCGGGCGCTGGCAGGGCCCAGGAATCAAGGGATCAAATCGCCGTCAGCCACTATCAGATCGCCGAGGCCAAGTTTTTTCTTTCTGTCCCACTAGTCGATGGTCAGACCCCGACAATTACCTCAATCCCGCTAATGAGGGATTATTTCATCCCTCCCTGACAGTGGTGCTTTTTGCATATTCTTTCTTCTTCTCTGTCTTCTAGACACGTTCTGGTCGCTTCCGCAGTGGATCTCCTGGTCTTGGAAATTGATTTTGACTTCTCTCGTCGCTAAGTTTGTCAACCACGACGTATTCAGGTCGCATTCGCTTTGCCCTCTCTGAGCTCATTTTCTCCACATTTTCCAGCCTAACTTTTTCCACTTTCAAGTACCAAGACGTCCCCAATTAAATCGGACCGCTGTTTGGCTAAAACAGGGCTGCTAAAAAAAAACGCAAAAAAAAAGCAAGAAAGAAAGAAAAAGAGAAAGAGAACCCTTCCAGAATTATTCCGTATTCCAAGCCATAGCTATTATCAATTTGATCGTGACGACCCCGCCGCTCCCTTGATCTGTTGGAGTCTCGTATATGGTCATCACTGAAACTCCGCGGACCTTGCTTGACTCATCCAAGAACGCAATTACTAATTTAACAGAACCTCTCTCCTCCTCCAGCTTCAGCCCATCCGCTGTCGGATAATTACTTTCGAGGAAAACACAACCACAGCAGCAAAAGCGGCGTTTTTTTTCTAGCCCAGTGATTGGATCCCACTTGCAATCCGTCGGAAAAACGAATCGCACCGTCGTCATTTTCTCCTACTGCTCGATGAACCTGTGAGAAACGTCAATTCCACCCTCGTGGACGATAACGGTCGGATCGCCACGCGGGCATTGCTCCTTGCTGATCAAATTAGTCTCGCGCTTCTTTCGTTCTTTTGGGACGCCCAGAACACTTTCCTGATTCCACAAACGCAATTCAGTCGGAGCTCGCTCCCTTGCATGCTTCTGCGCCGACCGCCTTAATCGATCCCCGACCCCCTGGGCTGAACAACCGCGCGCACCATGGGTACTCCGTCCAGCGCTTTCCATACCGCGTCGGCGGATAATGCGACGGACGATGATCCATCGGGCCCCTCTGATTCAGTTTTCTACCATGATGATGCAGACCCCTCTTCTCTTCAGTCGCCCGACCAAGATGGCTCAAAACCCGCCAAGGAGTCCCTCCCCATGCAGAAGAGGCGCCGTGTAACCCGCGCTTGCGACGAATGTCGACGAAAAAAGATCAAATGTGATGGGAAACAACCATGTACCCATTGTACCGTATACAGCTATGGTCAGTAGTAACTACCCCTCATGTTCTCTTTGTTGTGCCTTTGCGGCCATTCACCATGTGCTACCGCACATCATACCTGTCTACTCTGCATGTTACTCACTCCTCTCCCCATCGATAGAATGTACCTATGACCAGCCATCGAACCGTCGCCGTAATCCGGCCCCTCAGTATGTGGAAGCCCTTGAGGCCCGTCTACACAAGGCCGAGGCGCTCCTTCGAGTCGTTCTACCCGACATCAATCTCGACGATCCCCGGTTTGATGAGCATGCTACTGAACAAATGCTAGCCGCCGTCAAGCGCGAAAAACACCAGCCACAGCAACCGCCCGTAACCACCAACGGCTCGAATCCCCCGGCCGTTGCTGCGGGCCCTGCGGACGCTCCATCAGATAACTGTTGCGGCGAAGAATCTCTACTCGAATCAATGGTGGAAAATTCAGGCTATCTGGACTTGGACGATCAGGGTCACTGGGATTATCATGGGCACACCTCCGGCATCACATTCCTCCGACGACTTCGAAAGCAATTGGGCACCGTTGATATCTCGGCGCCGGCGATGCGATCGCGACCTATATCACAGATGTTGGACAGTCCCAAGTCGGCATCAGAATCTCCGCAGGATGCATCACTACCACCCACCCATGACCTGCCATCACGCGATGTGGCACGACGTCTGTGTCACAATGCCTTGGAAGATGGTTGTTCTCTAATGCGATTCGTTCACGAACCCTCGTTCTACGCCATGTTAGATCGGATCTACGATACCCTGCCGGAGCAGTATACCAACGAGGAGCATGCGTTTCTGCCACTCCTCTACATTGTGATGGCTGTCGGTTGTTTGTTCTCAGATGACGGGACTGGCACCCTGGATCTCTCCGGTTATGAAAGCGCCATCGGCCAAGGGTATGTCTGTCCTTGATACTAAGGTGTTATATTAGCTAACTCTGGCCAGGTTTCAATACTTTAAGGCTGGCCGGCAGCTCTTAGAGATCACCGACTGCCGCGACTTGACCTCTCTCCAGGCTATCTGTTTCATGGTATTGTTCTTGCAATCGTCTGCCAAGCTGAGCACTTGTTATTCTTTTGTCGGCATTGCCCTTCGCTCTGCCCTACGCCTGGGCCTGCACCGCTCGGTATCAGCCAACTTCAACCCTCTCGAACAAGAGCTGCGGAAACGCATCTTTTGGGTTATTCGGAAGATGGATGTCTATGTCAGCACGCTCCTGGGACTACCCCAGATGCTAAGCGATGACGATATCGACCAGGAATACCCAATGTCTATCGACGGGGAGTTCATCACCTCGGATGGCATCTTGCCCACGCCGTCAGATTATACGCCTCTCATGGCAGGTGCCAATGCGCACACACGACTTTCAAGCATTATGCTCAAAGTGGTGAAATATATCTATCCGGTTAAAAACGCTCAGCACCGGTCCAAGTCAGACCAACGTTATGTTGTAAGTCACTCCAAGATCCGGGAGATTGAGCGGGATCTCCAGGCTTGGATGGAGGAGCTACCGGCGGCTTTGCGACCTGGGACCGAGGTGTCCCCTCAACTCGAGAGGTATATTTGACCTTCTACACTCCTTTGTGTGACCAAGACTAACTTTCTGTAGGGTACGGCAATTGCTGCGCATTAGTTATGCCCATGTACAAGTAGTCATGTACCGCCCTTTCTTACACTATGTCTCGAGTGGCTCTCAGGCCCGGGGCGTCGATCGGCGGTCCTACGCCTGTGCTGCTGCATGCGTTAGCGTCTCCCGAAACATCGTCCATATCACTACTGGTATGCATAAGAGAGGTCTGCTTAACGGGTCCTATTGGTTTACCATGTACACCACCTACTTTGCTATCCTCTCTTTGCTATTCTTCGTGCTCGAGAATCCCGACTCTCCCACGGCTAAAGATGGTGTGTTGAAGGATGCTATGGAAGGCAAGAACACTTTGACAGGACTGGCAAGGAAGAGCTTGGCGGCGGATCGGTGCTCCCAAAGCCTCATCTGCCTTTTCAAGAATCTTCCCGAATTATTAAAGAACCGCCAAAGCAAAGCGAACCCGGTGAATCTAAAGCGCCCTGCCCCGTCCAGTAGCAACAAACTGGGCAGTGCTAAAAGCCCTACGGCCCCGCCTGCGATGCCTCCGCCGCAGAGAGCGAGCACATTCCCTATTCAATTACTGAACAGGTCGACCAAAGAGGCCAGTAACATGCCCAAGAGCCTAGATGACAACCATCCCCGTCATAGCCGATCGAATTCCCGTCCAGCGAATACACCGCCCCCCTGGTTTTCCTCCACGCCCGAACCGTCCATGGAGGCCATATCGACCCCGTCAGAGACACAGGCCACCGAGTCCATTGCTGCCTCATCCAACACATCTCCCCTTCCTGTGTCCATGTCGACGCAAGATATGCCCTCGAGTCCATTCGTCGCCCAGCAGTTCACAAACCCAACCAACCTTCCTGACCTTATGCCCATCATGTTTCCCTCTGATGATCCTTTTGCCTACCCTACCCAGCCGATGTCCACTTTGGAGAATGACCATTTCCGGCAGGACGGCGGGGCCATGCAATTCGGGCGGGATCTCGCGACACAGCGATCGATGCCGCCTGCTACTGATCCCACCAACGCCATCGGGGTATCAACACCGACTCTAGAGGGCCTGGGTAATTTTCCCTTGTTCTCCAACAACAACACCCCAACCCTCATGAATGCGGTTCTCCCTATGCGCCTCGCAAATCCCCCTTCTGTGAGCCAGTCGCGGTTACAGTCGCCTGTTTCACACGCGTCGACCCCGGCGAGTGGGGAGGCAGTCAACAGTCCCGATCTGGTTTCTCTTCCGAACAACAATTTTATGTGGCAAGGGTACAACTTCCAGCCGCCAAACCTCACCACAGAGCAGTCAACGCAGCCGCCGATGCCATCCGGGAATGTGCAGAACTTCGGCATGGGCGTTGAGGACAACTCCATGGGGATGGGCATTGATTTAGGGATCTCGCTGGACGATATATTTGGGAACCCCGATGCGTGCCGAGCTGGCAATGGACTTCCCAGTGACGATTGGATCCAATGGATGAATGTCGGAAACTGACTTGGTATGATACCTTTCTTTTTGCCATTCCACGAAGATAATGTAACGACCAACGGAGTACGGGTATTGATGCGGCGTTTGTGGGTTTCGTATAGTTATGAGTATCATCCGTATATAGATGAAATGTCATGTTGATTTGTACATAAAAGGCTCTCACGGTATAGATGTGTCTATTTAGCATAAGATCTATGTATGTTTTATGTGTATAATATGGTACACCTATAGGACAATAACTCCACCACCTCTACCCAACAAAACCCATAAAATACACGAAAAGAAGAAAAAAATCACACTCTCCTCCTTTTCGGCGGCTGATACCAACTCCAAATATTCAGCCCAATCTTTGTCCCCTCTGTCACCGGAAACGCCGCATGCCACGTCTCCAAATACCCACTCCCATCCGGCCTCAAATTCTCCCAAAAGATCGCATTCCCCTTCATCGGCCGAAATGTCACCCCCTCCGCCTCACTCTCACACTCCACAAACCGACACCACTTCTCATCCCTCGGCCTCTTGAACCGCGGGAAATTTGTCCCACCGCCCGTACACTCGTCCCCGAGATACACCATGAACGTACTGGCGCGGTCGCCGCCACGCGCGCTCGACCCCGCCCAGTCATAGTGGTGTCGGTAGTGGCCGGAGGCGTTGTATCGCTGGGCCCACATGCGCTCAATGTACATGTGCGGTTGCCAGCCTTGGAAGGCCTTTGCGCGGTTCTCGAGACAGCGCACGGTGTTGGTGCGGGGGAGGAGGGCGCGGTCGGAGAGCCGGGTGTTGGGGTCGACTCTTTCCGTTGTGCCGTCGTAGATTATGGAGGGGCTGTACGTTTCTTGACTTTTTTTTTTTTTAGGGTATATTAGTACCTTGTTTGTTTTTCTTGCTTTGTGGGGGTGGGTTTGGTGTGGCCGTGGGCTATGTATGTATGTATGTATGTATGTTCAATTGCGCTGCGCAATTGATTGAACGGAAGCAACTCACCCGAGCTCGACGAGATGGTCGGCTTCCTCGGAACTGAGGAAATCTTCGATGTAGATTACCAATGGGTCGCGACGGAGGAGATGCACCCGGTAATTGTCCGGGGGACAGGTGGCTTCAATGCCATCGTCCAGACTGAGGATGGTGCCGTTCAGGATTGGGCCTTCGAGGTCGGCGGCATCATCGTCTAGGTCGAAGGTGAGGTCTTCTTCGGAAGGGGGGAAGAATTGGCGGAGGGCGGGGGCGACGAGGAAGATGTAAATTGGGAGGAGGTAGAAGAGGGAGCCGAGGATTGTTGAGAGTTTTAGCATTCTTTTCTAGGCCGAGGGATATATATATATACTTGAAGAGGGAAGGATGTGTCTTGGAAGGGTTTAATCGATATACTCGGCGGTCCAGAACATGTGAGCCCGGCTGATTCGGGTTTAGGGCGCCAGAGTGGGACGTTAGACTAGACTGGATGAGGAAGGTATCTTCTATCGCTGATCAACTATGAGTGTCTCTATGTATGACTACACCTATGGTGATACATGCTTCATTCCAACTAGCATCTCTCGCCCTTGACAATCACACTCTAGTGATCGGCGTGACCCCACTTTTCGGAGAGAAAGTTGCCTCCTCGCCAGCAGTTGTTCTCAACCACCTGAGCTCCATCTGCAATGTTGTTGTAGCTGGGAAGGGTCATACCCCAGCGAGTCTCAGTCTTTATACGCTGTTGGCAACGGTCATAGGACACAAGACGATGTCCTCCATCATTGATATTGACTCCACTGAAATGTCTCACGGAGAAAATTTCTGTCAAGCCTAAAGGACCAGTTGCATTGCTAGGCTGGGGGCCATAGGACATGTATAGGGTTATATTTCCTGCAATTCGAGGATCCACATAGTGTTGGCCACAAGTGTGCTCGTATCTGCTGTCTGGATTTAGCCCGATAGTGCACAGATTTTCTCACAAGTCTGTTTGTTGAAATCTCTCTGCACATGAAAGAGCGGATCAATCGATATAGATATATCAGCAATCCATTGCTTTTGCACCATAGTTGATTTGAGAACCTGGTAGTATTGTCTATTGAACAGAAAGATTTGATGACCCAACATCGTTCTATAGAAAGAGAGAGGTACCTGAGACACTCATCGCCACCCTTCGGCGCCTTGAATGCTCCCCACAAGGATAGACACTTATCATAATCCCAGGCACTAACTGGGTCAAGATGCACACGATCAGTCGAAACAAGACCCTAGGAAATCACGTAAAAGCAACAACAAAGCAAGTCCCCTGATATCATCATCGAAGTATATCGTGCCATGCTCTGAATGTGATTGGGATTTCGTTTACATCGTGAGCGTCATAGCAGTATCAAAAATGCGCGCCACTGAACCCTATTGTCCACAAGTACGAACTGTACCTTCGTTGCATGTTTCCCCACCTGATTCCTGGGGTATTAAAGCGAAACTTATCTTAACTGTACCCCCTCTCATATCTAACCAGCCGCAGTCATCTTCTACGTGGTTTGTTTTCGTTCCTTTCATCTCGAGGCAGCGCCTCCCCCTTCACGACAAGCTCACCACCGGCCAAAGAACTGAACACTAACTACCACAGAGCCCAAATCACATATCAAGCCATAATGCCGACCTCGAAGACCGATGCAGAATTCCACCTCTCCAACCCTGCCGTCCAACCGCAAAATGCAACGCAGAACCAGGCTGCGACCTCGAGACTACAGGATGCCTCTCGCTCGGCCGGTGAAGCCCAAGGAGCAGACCTGACTTCGCGAGTGACGCTACAGGAGTTCCTTCAGACGCGAATGGACAAAGATGGCAACCCCGTGTCGAACCCTGTTGCGTTCACGGATAGCGCCAAGATGCAGAGCAGCCGTGATGCCCTGGATGAGGCGGATCTAGTCGATGCCGCTTATTATGATGATTTTGATTAAGACGAAATTTGTGGACGTGTCGCCGTGCCGGTTTGAGAGCGTGAAGCATTCAATTAGTTGTATATTTATTGTTCTGATTTGTTACACTCATTCAACACGGGAGGTTTCAATGCTACTTCCTTCATTCTGGTCTTGTGTCTGGCAATCTATTGTGAGTTAATGTTCAAAAGAATGTAGATCAAGATGCCCTAGCCATAACTCAAGTTTGCACATACTCTTCACCTTATCCAGGAAATCCCCTACAGGTCACCGGAATAGGTAGTCTAACGGGTGCAAAAACGAGGGGCCTTCAGGGTCAAGACATTGTCCTTGGGAATAGCAGCACATACACGCGAGATCACCCCACGGCTCGATTGTCACACATGTGGGGAGTTGTGGATAAGACTTTGGGGTTGAGTGGATCGACCCCATGTCAGCTTTGCGTACCGATGATATAAACGCGCCTTCCGCACGCCACAAGCGAAGTTCATCATCACGTGGAATAGCAAGTGGCACTGCGGTTCGACTTCATGAAGCACCCCGATATCTCGGGTTTTGTTTACACTGACCTGGTTTCGAAGCCCTAATATGTTCCCAGTATGATGTAATGAGTTTGCCTCTCGCATGCCTAAGGCGGGAATATAGCCATCCGTGCATACTGTGTATTTTATGGTTACTTGTAGTTACTCTAGATTTGGTTATATCATGCATCTCTGCGGACTTACCGATGGGCCGATTCTCGGAATGCCTCAAACTCCCCATATTGGTGACGTTGAATGTAGAACTCGAGACAGTCTGAAGATTGCCCACAGTGAAAGATTCCGATACATACTTGTAGTCATTCGACCGTTCTTAATACTTACCACTTCTTCAAAACTCAATACGACCTCCATTCTAAGTTCAATCGGTCATCGGTAAAGTAAGTCTTGTCTAAAACTGTTTTGGATAATATCTCTTATATATTACATAAACCAGTGGAAGGGAGAGCACACCAAAGATATATACTCCCACGGTGGGACCTTGCCTACAAAGGAGGCATAAAGTCTGTCCCAGATGAACTTGTTGTTTGCATGCTTTCGCTGGAGAATGCAACTGAATCTCTGTTGATATCGCCATGGCTTTTTGTAGAGGAGTAGAATGTGTTGCCGCGAGTCGCGCTTGATGTATGTACTATGAGGAACTTGTAGTGGAGCCTACACACCCCAACAAGGCTCAGCCTGTAGTTCCACTTGGTAACCGGCAAGACAGCTAGGTCACGCATGGGCCACCTCTGTATAAGTACTGCAATGCTTTATGGGATCACATAGAATCAATTGGTAGTTTTGGTCTAGCATGGTCTTCTGTCTACACCCTCCGTTTGACATGTTCCATGTTGCCCTCTAACCTTCATTCCCTTATGCGTTGCTGCAGCTGCCATCCTAGTACATGGAATACGTAGATACGTCTCGCATCCCGGCATCTTGATTCTTCTATTTTCTGTATTCTTGTATACTTCCAATACTTCAAGTATAATAACGGGAGTTTTCGGTTTTTTTTTTGGGTCGGGTCGGGTCTCGACCCGAAAACAACTCGACTTGCAGCGGGGTAATAGGTGCCTGAGGCAACGACCGCTACAAAAAGATAAGAGTTAGCGACTGCCAATATTCCGACATCCACAGAATATTGGAGCCATGGCATCACCTAAAGATGAAATAGGTGCCTGAGGCAACGACCGCTACAAAAAGATAAGAGTTAGCGACTGCCAATATTCCGACATCCACAGAATATTGGAGCCATGGCATCACCTAAAGATGATATCAGTCAGTACCTTCACCAGTCGCACGAGCGCATCTTCCAGAACAACCGGAGCTGGGTCTCTTCCAAGAAAAAGGAAGATCCCGCGTTCTTCGAGAAGCTCGCAGCCGGTCAAACCCCCGAATATCTGTAAGCACGTCCTGATTAGAGTAGCATTGAGCAGATTAACAAAAACAGATACGTAGGATGCAGCGACAGTCGAGTTCCCGCCAACGAGATCATGGGTCTCGAAGCAGGCGAGGTCTTTGTCCACCGGAACATCGCGAACTTGGTCCCCAACACTGACCTCAACGTGATGTCGGTGATCAATTACGCGGTGCGACACCTCGGCGTCAAGCACATCGTGGTGTGTGGCCACTACAACTGTGGAGGGGTTAAGGCGGCATTGACCCCATCTGACTTGGGGTTACTTAATCCGTGGCTGCGAAATATTCGCGACGTCTACCGCCTACACGAAGCTGAACTTGACGGCATCCAGGATGAGCATGCAAGATACAATCGCCTCGTTGAGCTCAACGTGATAGAGTCGTGCAGAAATATTGTTAAAACCGCTGCGGTTCAACAGAGCTACCAAGAACACGGGTATCCTGTGGTTCATGGATGGGTGTTTGACATACGTGATGGGCTACTTCGAGATCTTGATGTTGACTTCAAGAGCATGCTACAGGGCATTAAGAAGATATATAGTCTTGGAGGATCGTCTGAATAAATCAGGGCATTATCCCATTACATGACGCTGGATGTTGAGATCCCTGGTCCCTCGGTGTTGATATCATCGCTCAACTGACCTGTTCGCAGATCCCTTCTCTCTCTCTATCAGATGGGATCACAGGCTGGAAAATCTATTAGTTGACACTATATCTCCGTCAAACAACAAATCGTGATGTTCCACGCTTCTGTCAGGCCGTCAGCTTCAAGATCACCTCTGTGGCTGAGGATCTGATGATCTAGAAGCCTGTAAATTAGGTGTTAGCAGATAGGAACCCCTCTGAGGGATAAGAATCAGCCAGCCACATCTTATACAATGACGTATTACTGCCGTACTTCTGTCTGTTACTATAAAAATAGTTGAGATATTGGTGATTAAAACAAGGCCACATTATATGGAATACCCCAGCCGCTTACTGGCGACGTTTAGTTAGCATGTCATAGGAGTATTCACCACCTCTGGGGTCTACTTTGTGTTCTGCGGATGATGGATTGGTCCACCATCAAATTTTCCCCTTTGGCTAATTCTATTATATACTAGAATTGTCTGTCTAGTGTTGCAAGGACAATTGGAGAGTAGTACAGAGGTAGTGGAACTGCTTTTTAGAATAAGTGTATTTTTGACGATTCCATTATCAGTGGGCTGAATGCGAAGACCCTAGAGTTATTCGGGAGTGGCTTGATCGTGTGCAAATTACTATAATGAAATACGGTATCCATCGAAGGAATACCTACAATTTTGACAAAACTGGTGTTGCTATGGGCTTGGTAGCTACTGCTCAACTTTTCTAATAGAGCTGAGTAGCATAGAAAGCCCTTGCTTATACAGCCAAGTGATTGCGAATAGGGTGCTTATCGAATATTTTAGCTCTACTGGATGAGTACTTCCACCATAGATTATTCTTAAAGGAAAGGTCCATATAGAGGGCTGATAACAAAAGCCCAAGATCCAGAAGATTTATTCATTAACCCAATAGCAACAACACATTCCCTTCATTATAAATATTGATTGCTCGCCGGTTTCCTAGCCCCTTTTGTAGCATCTTTCCCTGCCGACGCTCGGATATCTGTCACAATGTCTGGTCCAACAACATTTTTAATGCCCAATTTCTTCTCACTACCAATAACAACTGTTGTTACACGCCAGATCGGAATAGCCATTTCAAGAATTCCTACCCAATGCTTTGCTAAAAGAAAAAGTTATCCAGATGAACTTGGTGATTGTGTGCCAGCTACTACTCAACTGTAATGTGTGGTAGGCAAGGAATTATTTAAGCATCCTAAGGCAAGGCCATATTAATTTTCTTCTTTAGGTCAGCCCTGAGATAGCTGCAAAGCTTTATGAATTAGACATAACCGTACAATCAGTTAACAAGCTAGTAAGACACCTCCTTATTATCTTTTACACTACTTCAATTTCAACTTCTATAGCGCTGACAGAAATAAGGCCGTCGCCGACTCACCGAGCAAGATTTCAGGGTCCGAAGAATTTATCTCATCTTTACAAAAAGCGCCCCGTTCTGGTATATAGAACAAGCGATATTCAAAAGTCGAAGCGCAAGCCAAACAATGGTTCGAAAACTAGGCTAACAAGGATAGGGAAGAGCCAAGGAATAGGGCTATCAGATGAACAAGTCCGTAGAACATCTAGCCTTCACAAAAAGTTGGACCAAGCAAAACGGAAATGATGGGAGTATTCTACAGATGATATATAACTAGACTAAAGATACACCGCCGAAGTTCTAGGACTTCTTGCCTTTCCAGACGGATACCCAACTTATTCAATACTGCATGAAAGAGGTGGAGAGTATCAATATCTCGAAAAACCTGGACCCTATACGGGACAGGGTTCTCCTTTAATCCTTCGTCCAGACTGAAAAGCGCTTAGATAAATCTCAGACCAGCCAAATAAAAGGTGGCGACCGTCATCCAAAATTAAAGAACTCAAATTATCTCACCATCGTGAGCCAATTGTGGAGAACTACGAAGAGAGTCCCTATTGCAAAAGGGAAATACCAAGCGCATCAGAGAAGTGGCCCCCTACTTCCAGAACAAACCCGTTAACTTTTGCCCCGCAATTTCTCGTTTATGAAATACGGATAGATGCGGAGGATATTCGTAGATGGCGCATAATATATTGAGAACTAACGCACGTACTAAATTATTACGGTGTTGAGGCTAATGATGAAGCTAAAACAGTGTTGTCAGCCGGGATACTAGTTGCGAGTGTAATTAGTTTAGGACTTGAATATATATATATATATATATTTCTTTTGTCTGCTCTTTTCAGAGAAAACCAAGTGTATTCAAGCTCTCGATCAAGTAAGGGTAACTTACCGGCTGAGAGACCACCAGCGGGATTGGTTTTCTCCGTCAAACGCAGGAGATTCTCCCAAAAACATACCGGTATCGTACGGGGTAAATTTATTACCACCCGTTTGGACCCTCGGGGTAGCAACCCAGCCCAAAGGTTCAGTGTCGTAGTGAGGGAGTGTAACGGACCTGGCAGAAGCGAAGTTAACTTATTATCATACTAGGAGGAAGATCAGACTCAATATGGAGTACAGTTTCTAAGTAAGAGACGCCATTTAGTAGTGTAGCTTATCATCCGAGACCCTAAAGACTTGCAACGTCGACTCGAAGAACTTGACAAACGAATTCCGGTTTTCTGGCTGAGTGACATGGTTATGTGATGGGAGAAATTCCCTTACGAACAGCCTTGTGCGTTTTTTGCTGCGGTCTTCCATCCTGTCATCAATGATCTTATCCTAACAAGGATTTCCGACTAAGATCTTGTAGGACACCAACACACGTAAAAGAACGTGTATGGACTGCAGCTAACAGCGACTTCTACCTGAGCCTTGTCACACGGTGTTGCAAAAGCTAGTAATGAGAGCCTACGGTACTATAACACAAGTTGATACGTGTATTTCTTACAGATAAACGATGTACCCCTGTACCATACTAAAAATGGAATGGACACAGGGAGGCATTCCAAAAGTTAGTTTTGACAGAGAACGAAGATTAGGAGAGGTTTCAACTCCGTCTGGATCTCGGTGAGCGACGTGATTGTCATGTCCAAATTAGTTTGCAAAGGAAAAGTGGGCTCAAGCATTCGATAAGGATGGGGACATGCGGAGGATGCACCTGTGTTGGAAGGTGAAACCTCTCAAGGAGCGATCTGGATTGATGGCCGTTCCCCTTCCAGAAGCACGTGGGACCCCAACTCATCGAATTCCATACCTTAACTTCAGCCTTGGAATCCCTTGGCAAACGCTCTTTCAACAGGCATTACATGACAAAGATGAATGATGTAGTTACGGTGCTTATGTAACTTAGCGTCTTAGAAAGAGGTTGTTCGTAGATGTTGAACTATTGGCTAGCCCTGTTCTTTGTTTCATCTCCTTCCCCTTATTGATTTTCTCTTCGGCTCGTACAAGCTCGCGTTCAGCCCTCTTTCCATAAAGTTGGACCTTTCTGGGATAAAGTTTAGCAGCCGTTCAAGAACCTCCAAATGCCACAAAGCCAAGGCAGCAAGATTATTAAGTCTAAGCGCCAAGTATAGCAGTCTCGATGCATCATCTTGGCCACTTCCAAGACTTCCACGGAGCGGGAGACCAAGACAGGGAGGTGCCAAGAGAGTATCCGTGGTTACCACTGAAGACCCATTTCTGAAAAAGCACTCTTGGCCCCCCCGGTTTATGGTCGAATATGAGGTAATTTAGAATCGGCCCCAGGCCATCGTTGGCTCCATTCATAAGGCCAATCGTGGTTCGAATTTCAGGGAACCGCTCGTGATCTCGTTTAAATCTCCCCGAAATTTGACCCAATCAGGTTAGCGATACCGCCCATCTTTCCAGGGTCTGATTGGCGCTAATCCATCACTTTTCATTCATGTGGAAGCGGGGCTTGAGGGTTGCAGGTCTCCGGTAATGATGCTGTATGGTACGTTTCAGGTCGGCTGCCGATCGAGTCCCCTTGGTGACATGTGGACACTATATTGGGGAGTTAATATTGAGTTAGGTAGTGTTATTCTGACGGAGGGATCATTCTGAGAAAAGAATCCATTTCCAGGGCATCAATTTGGCAGGATTCCTTTTTTTCATTCAATTCTTTTTGCTCTTTCTCTTTCTTTTTCTTTTCTTTTCTTTTTTTTTTTTTT